GTCCAGAACCAACTGTCTAATAGAATCCAGCTATGATCTCTCATCGGATCATACACCGGTTATTATGAGCCTGAGTACCACAGTTATAAACAGCCCACCACCTCCTCGACTCACGTCAAAAAAACACCGACTGGGCAGATTTTCAATCCTACCTAGAAGAAAACACCCATCTTAATCAGCGGATCAAGTCTACACATGACATAGATACAGCAGCTCAATACTTCACCACACTTGTGCAAAAAGCGGCATGGCAATCTACACCACGAACTGAATGCAAACCAACACATACCACAAATGTTCCCCTGCACATTCGCCAACTCATTGCTGAAAAACGTCGTGCGAGGAGAACTTGGCAAAGATCTAGAAATAACATAGACCTACATATATTCAATAGACTACGAAGGCAACTTGGAGTAGCCATCAAAGCTGCAAACAACGAAACCTTCGAACATTACATAACAAATCTTACAGCAAATGACCAGACGTTATGGAAGGCCACTAAGAAGCTAAAGAAACCATACACAACCATTCCTCCTATCCGTAAACCAAATGGCGAATGGGCCTGTTCCAACAAAGAAAAAGCTGACGTTTTTGCTGAACATCTTACAAACGTATTTCAAACAGAGCCAGCAGACCCTGATAAAGAAGTGGAAGAACTAATTAGCGCAGCATGTCAAATGTCCCTCCCAATTAAAAGTTTTACTCCTATAGAAGTTAGGAAAGAAATAAACAAACTCAATTCACGAAAGGCCCAGGTTATGATTTAATCTCGGCACAAGTACTAAAACAACTTCCTCGTAAGGCCATAACTTTGCTAACAGTTATATTTAACCGCATGCTAAGCTTATCATACTTTCCAAAAATATGGAAATTTGCTGAAGTCATTATGATCCTCAAGCCAGGAAAAGAGCCCAACGAAGTAACATCTTATCGACCTATCAGCCTGCTCCCAACTGTAAGCAAAGTTTTTGAAAGATTACTACTTCAAAGAATATACGCAGATCATGAATTCCTTACATTACTTCCAAAACATCAGTTTGGTTTTCGGGAAAATCACTCCACTACCCAACAAGTTCATCGAATGATAAATGAAATATCAAAAAGTCTTGAAGAAAAGAAATACTGCAACGCTGTATTTCTAGACATCTCACAAGCGTTCGACAAAGTTTGGCACAGAGGTCTGCTTTACAAAGTAAAAATAGCACTATCCAGTAACTATTTCCTCCTACTTAAATCCTACATATCAAATAGATATTTCTCTGTAAAATTCAAAGACCAACAATCCCACCTCTGTCCTTTCAACTCCGGAGTCCCACAGGGTAGTGTTCTAGGACCGCTGCTTTTCTCACTCTACACAGCCGATATACCAGAGACCAATAATACTACAATCGCTTCTTTTGCTGACGACGTAGCAATACTAGCCGTAAATGAAGATCCCATACAAGCCTCACAAAACCTGCAACATCATCTGAACATACTCAGTGATTGGTATACAAAATGGAGAACAAAAGTAAATAAAACAAAATCAACTCAAATAACATTTACCAACCGTCACAATATATGCCCACCTGTAAGGATGGAAAATATAAGAATACCAACAGTAACAGACGCTAAATACCTTGGCCTCCATCTTGACCAACGACTCACTTGGAAGAAACATATCCAGACCAAAAGAAGGCAGCTCGACTTAAAATTCCGACAAATGTATTGGCTTCTTGGACGTAAATCAAAAACTTAACATCCAAAACAAAATTCTTCTATACAAAGCCATACTCAAACCTATCTGGTTCTACGGACTACACCTATGGGGCTGTGCAAAACCAACGTCGCTGAATATTATCCAAAGATTCCAGTCTAAAGTACTAAGATCGATAGTGGATGCGCCATGGTACGTAAGTAACCAAACACTCCATAATGACTTAAAGGTTCCTTTCATCAGAGAAGAAATTCATCGAGCCACGGAGTCACAAAATGAACGTACCATTCACCACGAAAATGAGCTAGTAAGGGAACTATACAACAATGGACCAGCCACAAGAAGATTACATAGAACCTGGCCTCAAGACCTTCTTCAGAACTAAACCAAAGTAGAATAAGGTGAGACATCATTGGATGTCTCCCCTTCACGCGCAAAACCTGTAATCACATTTACTTAATACTCTTTTTTTGATGTAGATTGTAAATAAACATAATTATAAAAAAAAATATATATATATATATATATATATATATATATATATATATATATATATATATATATATATTGAAAAATTGTATGTAATAAAAGTAATAAATTCAAAAGGACTTTTGTAGAAATGGTTTGTATTAGCAGAAGTGATAATAATTTAAACAACAGATCAGAAATTTAAAATCTAAGAAAAAATGTATAATTATATTATTTCTCTATATTAAAAGGCCAAATATATGGCCTAGGAGACAAATTCGTTAAACTTTCCGTACTCGAATCGGTATCACTAAAGTGTTATGATCATTTCGGCCTATCCCAGCCATCGTCAGACACTTGGGCTGATACAAATTCAAACTCGGAAAGTAAAACGAAAGTCTCTTTTTTTATTAAGGTTCTTATTGCATTATAAAGAACATAGGATAGGGTTATGTATGGACTAGCGCATCAGGCAAATAGTCTCCACAGCTTTGCTGGCACATACTCTTTCTTTTGTCGAAATTTTCCATTACCAGTTTGCATAAATGTGGCTGAATATCGGTAATGCAGCGTTGAATTCCCTCCTTCAATGCACGGGAGGCTGTAGGTTTGTTGGCGGAGATGGTTGATTTCAACACTCCATAAAAAAAAGCCAGTTTTATTAAATCACATAATCTAGGGGGACAATTATTCTGATCACCGAAAGGAGAAATTACACGGCCGAGAAATGACTCATACTGTAATTGTATTGTGTTACGGGCTGTATGGCATGTGGCACCGTCTTGTTGCAACCACATGTTGCCCACATCCATATCATCCAATTTAGGTAGAAAAAACTTTTATAATATTGCGATATAGAGCACCAGTAACAGTCACTGCTTAAGCAGTCACATTTTTAAAGAAGTATAGTGCAATGATGCTTCCAGCCCAAAATCCTCATCAAACAGTGACATGTCGTGAATGAATTTTTGTTCGACAGTCATATGAAGGTTCTTAGAATTTTAAATGCGTAAATTTTAACGATTAACAAAGTGATGAAAAATTAGGGTGAAAATGTGCTCCATCGCTTAGGATGATTTTGCTCGAAAAATCATCCACTTGTTGATGTTTATCTATTCTCTCTTCGCTGTGCATGGTCATTATGCTTCAGTTCTTGTATCAATGGAAATTTGTAAGCATTTAGATGAGATCTTGCGTTACTGTATGGTGTAGAGCTTCTTGAAATTTGAAATTCTTGTCCACAGCTAAACATCACCAATTAATTCAGTCACCCTGTTCAATTTTTCACTTAATTTTTCGCTGTATCAATTCCCATTATTCTCTACCTTAATTTTACAATAATTACCCTACTCCAACCTTTTCTACTCACATCTCATTAGAAATACAGACACTTGTAAGATAGCAAACGAAAAATACATTCTCTTGCCTATTGACTATCGCTAGCAACGGACGTATTCTCTCTACTGTTGACTGCCGCTAGCAACAGACATTTTCTCTCTCTCTCTCTCTCTCTCTCTCTCTCTCTCTCTCTAGCTTATAGCTATGCGAAAAATACCGTGAATCCTCTTTTAAATCGTATGCAAACGCAAATGTGCTCTATCTCAAGATCTCAGTGTTAGTACCGCGAGACACGTATTGAGAAACCGGTAAAGACAGCTTCCCCGTACGAAGAACAATCGCAAATGAAAGCCTGTAAATACTGCGAGTATGTGTGCAGCACAGGATTGGTAAGACTTTTTTATAAACTTGATCTATTATCTGTATAACCCCTTACTACTTATCCTAATTTATTTAAACCAGCCCTATGTAATACAGTCCATATACACTGAAATTATATTCATAATTTCACATATGTACACCCTTTTTGTACACTTCCTGAATTTTTCAATTACTCTTTTCACAGTTGACGAAGTTAAATCAATATTCCTACCATATTTCGTCTGAAATTTTCAGACTGTGGCCACAAAACTTTCATTATTTTTAAAATATTGTTCAACCATAAAAACGCATGTAAGTTTCTATTTTGTGAGGACCTTTTGTTATGAGGGTTAGTGTCACTCGTTGGACTAAGCCCATTGTTTCGAGCGGGGATCTTTATGTTCCCTCAAAAATAAAAACTTTTAACATGATGATAGTTCGTTAGGACTGAAAACGTTCTGAAACTTTATAAATCTATTTTGGATATATTGAGTTTAATGCGTCGACAACTAATAGTCATTGGCATGGTACAGTGAATTTTTACAGTCAGGTACCTAGTGTAGTGTGTGTGTAGGTGTAGAGTAATTGTCTTGATACTTAGCAAAGTCGACGTCATTGTCTTTGCTAAGAGACGCTAATTGTATCCGAACGTCTGCGTATCCGTCTGCGGTCCCTCCGGTGAGTACCGATCGCACAAGGATAGAAATTATTTTCAATTAATTTTTAATAAACGAAAATTTCTCCACCCAGGTGAGATTCGAACTCACGATCTTTACGTTCAAAGGTAGGCGCTCTTACTACTGAGCCACAGAGGGGGTTGATATATTTTTAAAAATTTTATAAATGAATTCCATCTTACACAAAAAGTTTTTACTTCATAGTAAGTTTGATATAATTAAGTTGCTTTATTTGTATTTCACACATCATAGCCATGTAATAAATTACCAAAAGGTCAAGAAAATGCAAAAGCAGCTTGATTTCGATTTTGAACGGATATAAGATCAGAATTTGGTTCTTCTTTATGACCAATTATACACCTGTTTCTCTAGTTTTATTAAATTTTATGTTCTTAATCGGGACACGTAATGGTAATTTTTAAATAAATTAATATTTTTAACTTTCAAATTTTTTTTTTCAGTTGTATTCTATTTACTGCCTGATCTCTACGGTGTGTTCTCATTCGGTGTTCCTATTTACATTTTCATAATAACTACAATGTTATGGAGAGCAATTGCAAGAGTACAATTCTTTGAGGTAAGTAATAAAAAAAATTTTACATTTATCTGATAATTCTAAGAAATTCAAAATAAAAGTGATTTTATCTGTAATCAGCTACGCGCTCTGTAGCTCAATGGGTTGGCTAATGGCGAAAGTCACTTCACTGTGAGTACTTGAGTCGACCCTTACAAGCCAAAAATATTTCATACGTCTTAGCGTAAAATCCAAATTGGATTCGCGGCATTCAGGTACATCTAGTTGATTGGTTTTTAAGTAATACATGGTAATACTATGAGAGATAAGGTATCATAGTCATCGATATGTTCCCTAATCTCTTTTGTACTGTTGTCTGTCATACTACGGTAGTGAATTCTATATTGATCTGAGCCATGTTTATTAGCTTCTTATATCTGCTTCATGGGGATGGAATATTTTATTTTGGTATTAAAATTGCTCTTCTTTTTTTTCAGTATATGTAGTTTGTTTTCTTCGACTATTGAGCGCAGAGAGCTTATTTATCTTCATGATGTTTTAGGTATATATAGCTGTAACAAATGTTTTAACAACATATATAATAGCGGTAAAATCCCGGAGAACTGGCTACAGTCAACATTTATTACAATCCCGAAGAAACCAAATGCCCAGATTTGTGATGACTACCGGCTTATAAGCTTGATCAATCATGTCACTAAAGCGTTCACTAAGATCATTCACAGAAGAATATATGATAAATGTGAGTCAAATATTGATAGATCGCAGTTTGGTTTTCGGAAAGCACTTGGAACTAGAGAAGCAATTTTCGCTCTCCAGGTGCTTATACAACGGTGTAGAGACGTTGATAAAGACGTGTATCTGTGCTTTGTAGATTTTAGAAAAGCATTTGACAATGTCAATCATGAGCAATTGATAGGTATTCTGCGAAAGACAGGTATTGACGACAAGGACATTCGAATTGTGGCAAACCTATACTGGGGTCAAATAGCAAGAGCAAAAATTGGCAACGAACTCACTGAAAGCGTGCAGATCAAAAGAGGTGTCCGTCAGGGGTGTATATTATCCCCACTCCTATTCAATATGTATTCCGAGGAAATATTTAACAAATGTATGGAAAATGCAAATGAGGGCATTAAAATAAACGGCGAGTTAACGAACAATATAAGATACGCCGACGACACGGTGATCCTTGCCAGTACCATAGACGAATTACAACAAGTAATGGAAAGACTTTATTCAGTTAGTGAGCAATACGGCCTGAGCCTCAACTTCAAGAAGACAAAGTGGATGCTGATAAGCAAAAAGCAACAACCTGCTCGACAATTACGGATAAGTAACATATTAATTGACCATGTAGAGTCTTATGTGTACCTTGGCACCAACGTAAATGCAAAATGGGAACAGACCATAGAAATTAAGGCGAGAATAGAACGAGCTAGAGCAGCATTTAGCAATATGAAAAAGCTCCTCATAAGCAAGGATTTGTCTCTTCCCCTAAAACTACGTATAGTTAAATGCTACATTTTTCCGATCTTGCTGTATGGCGTGGAGGCCTGGACGCTGACGGAGACGCTAACGAGAAAACTAGAAGCATTCGAAATGTGGGTGTACCGACGCATTCTTCGTATATCCTGGACCGAACATGTCACCAACATAGAGGTACTCCAAAGAATCGGAAAGGAGAAAGAAATCGTGAATACAATTAAACAAAGAAAGCTTGAATATCTAGGCCACATATTTAGACACGATAAGTACCGTCTGCTACAATTGATTGTCCAGGGAAAAATAGACAGTAAGCGAGGGCCAGGCAGGAGAAGACACTCGTGGCTCCAAAATCTGCGGAAGTGGTTCGGGCTCACATCGGTCGAACTATTCAGAAGCGCCGCAAATAAGATCAAAATTGCCATGTTAATAGCCAACGTTCGCAACGGACAGGGCACTTGAAGAAGAAGAACAAAATGTGATTAAGGCTTTTTAATTATTACAGGTAAAAGTGGCTTAGTTAGAAGGAGTATTTGACATTTTAATTTATACCTGTTTTCAGTTTCAGAATGTATACCTCTCTGATAATTTTGATTCAAAAAAATTAATCGATTGAAAGTAACCGCAACAAAGACTTGCTAAAATACCTCAGACTGGGTCATACAGCAATGTCACAAAACCATTCAAGATGGTGGTAGTGCACAGACACTATTCTGATGGTCCACTAAATCCGGCTCAAGCAGACTTGATCGTCAATGAATTGAAACAAGCAGTGGATCAACAAAACTTTCCTATCGGAAGTTATACTCAACTTCCACAGTTCAATAAAACAACGTTTATTACCTGGACCCTACAGGTAAACTGTGCTAACGAGTATATCAATAAATGGACTATTTGTAGTGAGGGCTATGGAGAGATTGTAGAAAAGAGCAGACTTGACTATAATCGACCTCAATAACATACTTAAGCGTCCCATGGTCCTTGGATGCCCCGACAAAGAGACTCATGAAGCAATTATATCAGAAAGCGTCTAAGGAAACAAAATCATGATTTTGAAAAGTAAATATTAAAAAGTATTGAGGGCTGCTTATGTTAAGACCTATTACAGTCTTTAAAATATATCATTTAACATGATTAATCACTTCGATAGCACCAACCAGAGTCCTGCAGGTCAACTTTCGGCATAAGTCAGCTTCGGTAGAACTTACTGCTGCTGGGAGATGGTTCGATTTAGTTTTAATACAAGAGCCCTGGGTTTCATCATTGTTATTAGCACTACAGCCTTTTATGAGCCAAAGAAATTTTAGAAAATTCCTCATTCCTTCGTATGATGATCCCAAAAAAACACCACGACGATATAACACCACATACGATAATTACAATAATAAAACAGTGGCCGATTCACGTGGTTAGAACTCAGATCTGTGGCGTACCCAGGGGGGTTTTGTAGGTTAAACCTCCCCTCCCCCCAACCTAGGTCATATAAAGTAAAAACTATATAAAGAATAGTAGAAAATTGTAACTTGTCTTTCACACACAATACAAAAAATCCAAAACGCTAATTGAATAATTAAATTATCACTTGAAATATGTAGAACACAATAATTATTGTATAAATACACAATAATTAATAATATTTTTCATTATATTTAGATATAGATACCTAATATTGGGCTTATACTTAGACAAAAGTAGACAGAACGAGTCTGTTGCGCGTAACATGCGCCTACAGGACTGTAGCGGCCTTGTGGACTATCACGGATTGTGTTTCTCTGCATGTGTTAGCAGTAGAAAAGAGACATCTCTATGAGAGAAGAGAGCATTTGACAACAGCTATAGAAAAATGAGAAAGGGAAAGATTAATGAAAAGATGGCAAGAAGAGTGGAACAACAAGGAAGATTTTGCCCAGTGGATAAAGATGTCGATCCCGAACCTAAGGGACTGGGTAGATTGTATGATTTAGAGCATATCTTCATAGGTTTAGAAAGACAGATACAGATAAATTCCTATACTGCGAATATTGCGGTACTCGCACAATGCTGGAGTGTAATAGATGTACAGTGGAGGGAAACAGAATGTATAAAGAAATAGGTATGAACCCTGTGACTGTGAGAGAGATGATCGTGAAGATAATGGAAAGTACGGCGGGATGGAATAGTGTTCACAATTACATTCGAGCAGTCATTAAAAAGAAAGAAGAAGAGAAACACCAACCGGGCCAACGACAGAGATAAGATCTAAATACTATTTTAATGGGAATAAGCTGCAAATGAAGGTTAAAATAAGATGTAGATAAGAGATGGGAGTGTTCCAAAAATATCGTCATCCTTACAGTGGCCACCCCACTTTCGGAGTACGGTACGTGCGACAGTCAACTGTGCACAAGTAAGAGAGGGTTGTTTTAGTTAGTAGGCAGGATAATAGATACCTAAAATTATGGCACTGCTATCTTTAGTACACTAAATTAAACTAAAACCCAAATTTTAGGGATTCAAAATGGAGGTAGCATAAAAAAATTCAAACCCTCCCTCAAACAAATTGTTGGTCCGCCACTGACTCAGATAAGGTATTTTGTTTAGACCATGGATGCACAGACCGCGAATTATGAATGTTCTTGGGAAAAACACTTTTAAAAACTGAACTTCACAAATAAAACTTTTATTTTCGACTTACAAAGATTTTAGTAGCAACAACAATAAATTAAATCAGACTAAATTATAAATCAAACTAAACTACAAATCAGACTGAAAATATTGATTTTAACATGGTGTTTTTATAATTTTATAATTGCTGATCTTGCAGTCCAATACGTCGCAATTCAGTCCAGAATGATCGAGCGGTAGTCCCGTGTGGAATCCACGTGGTAGAATTTACTGGATGGTAGCGGTCATTGTACTGTAACTACTCCATCCCCTGAAGAAGTTTTGTGAGGGACGAACAGAACTGTTGGGTTGGCCTCTTCTGGAGCTTCGTGGCTGGAGTTAGGTTTTTTGTTATTTGTTTTATACCTGTAACATATTTAGAGGCAGATTATTGTAATAAAGATATATAAAGGAGTCATCGAAAAACGGTTATGGCTATGGTTCCATAATTTCGGGTTAATTGTCCTTGAATTTATGTGACTCTGGATTGGGGTTTTGAATTCGCATCTGGGCGGAAGATTGATGAGATATAGCTCAGGAGGAATGATTGTAGTAGAATTTGCGGTAGGTATAGAAAATAAATGATAATAAGTAAAGAAATTATCATGTAGGACAGAAAAATGAAGGATAAATATTGCTTCCTAGTCCATTAATCAGCCCTCTTCTTGGTCTGCCATAGTGGTAACTTGTTGAAAATTTTCTTGAGCTGATTTTAATTGGTATATAAGAGCTTGGCCGAAATTTTGTAAACTGCTAAAATACGGATGGCTAAGTCCATTTTGAATTGCTGTGGTTACTGCATTGTACTTTGTTTCAATTATGTCCAATTCTTCCTTTATTGGTAGTAGTCTGAAAAAATGTATAAAATCGTGTATACTAGTATGAATCTTTGCTTGTCCCAGATTGAGGGGAATTAT